GAGCCGGAGCATCCCCACGGCGTGCGTGCGCCCCACGCACCCGCTGCGCAGCTTCGCCAACCCCCTGCTACCTCCACCCATGAGTGCAATAGAGCCCAAAGTCCCCTACACGCCGCTGCTGTCCCAAACAGGTGAGGGCGACACGCTGGGATTATCCTCGGAGCGCTCGCGGAGCGGGTGTTGTGGGAATAATCCCATATTTCATTCTGACAATGCGGAATGAAAATTCAGAGCTTGGAATCGGAGTTAAGCAGTAAGTGATGAAAATGAAAGGAATGAGATGCCAAATTAATCATTTGGTCTTGTTTGCAGGTTCCTGTTGTGCTACAGTAACTTGAAGCAGTGCCAAACGCTTGACTCTTGTTTCGAGGCTTGCCTTTTTGATAATGAAAGGCCTATTTATGTATGCTGGAAAAGAACCGGCTGCAATTCACTCCAGCGTGCAAACTGCTTAAAAATTCAATAGCAAGTATGCAAGAAACAGGGGGAAAAAACTGTTTTAAAAAAGAATCGTCATAGAAGAGTGCGGCTTCTGATGGAAGCCGCGGGCTATTTGCACCGTTTGATTAAATGGTTATAGATGGCTATAGTGAAGCACTGGTTCGTTGCCTCCATGGGATCAAGCAGGGCCACGTTCCCTGATTCCAGATGTGCTGGTGCCAGGAGTCCAGCTGTGCCAACATGGGAGGGTTGGGACTGTGGGACAAGGCAGGGGACAGAGGGCTGAACCTTCACTCCTTGAGAGCAGGATATCCATGGGATCCTGGTCAGCCCAATGCTCGAATCGTTCCTCACATGAAGATGGGGTGAGTAACTCTATTCCATGGAGTAGCAATAACTACTAGAGCTGCTAAGGCCAAAAAATAAAAAAGTTTGCAGGTTGGTATTTCATTTTAGCTGTTTACTCCATTAGGTTGAAGAATACCCAGTCTGACTTGAAAAACTTTTAAGCTTTCAGCTTTTTGCTGTCGTGATCTGTCTTTCAGAATGTAATTTCCTGCCTCTAGGACATGGGGCACTTCCATGTCTGGAGCAAGAGAGCTACCAAAACCCCTCTGCACTTTTCCTGGAAGTTGGCAGTATATCAGCAAGTAATCCAGTTTTTGATAGCAGACAGAGGTAGATAAATCCTTATTTGCCAGAGAAATACTTTTGCGAAATAGTGCAGCTGAATTATATTTATATATAGTAGAGCCCATTCGCTGTTATGTAGTACACAACATTTTGCTTTATGAGGGTCCAACTGTACTTGTCTTACTCTCCTGAGGAAGCATAGCTACCTCTACATAGCTATTTGTCCTGTAAATCAATCAGGATTCCCATTTAATCATTATTACAGCGGGGAGGGACGGAAAGAGGGAGAGTCAGAGCACGTTACTAAGTTCATAAATAATCCTGGCATCCTGATAAAATTGTCTTTTTTGGATGAGTAACCTCCTGGTAGAAGATGCAAGAGGTAGGACGTTGTTATTAGGCAAAATTTAGCCCTGAACATGTCAATGTTCTGCATTATGGCAAATAAATGGAAATTTGCCTAGTGAAAAATGCAAACTTGTTGCTGGGTGGTTCATGGCATTGAAATGATGGTGTTCACTCTTTTAAAATCGCGATTTCTTCCTCGTAGAATTTTGTGCGTCTTCATTCCTGATCTTCCCCCTGCTATTTGGCACTGTCAGGATCTTTCTCTGTTTCTCTCTGCATGATTTCTCCTGTTTTTCTGAGGATGCTTGTAGCCATTAGCCAGACTGGTTTTATTTCCCTCGCCAATTCTTCCTAGAAAAGTTGGTTTTCTAAATGCTAACTTGTACTTGTGCCTCCAGGCAGATGTAGCACTGTTTCTGGCCCTGTACATGCACAGATTAAGGCACATATTTGGTTCATATAATATTTAAAAGCAGCTTAGAAGCAGATCATTAGCGTGACTGTCTTGGTTTACTGCTTATTGATGGTCATCTATGTTAGAGGGAGTTTTCACCAAATACGACTACTCATACAAAGGTCAAAAGAAGAACTTCCTAATTTTATAACTTTCCCCAGTGTTTTATACTTACATTTCAAGAGTTTTTCATTACAAATTTCAAATATTTCCCCTAGCACTTAGGATTTTATTGCTTTGAAGCTTGGGGATCTATTGGAAACAGGCCCTGAATGCATGTTAGCTGAATAATTGTCTGGCTTCGCAGCGGTAAGTAAATCTGTGCTTTGTGGCCTTATGCTAGTTAAAAGATACTCAAAACAAGATTGATCTTTCAGTAGCCTCTCCTGAATTCCTTCTCTCTGGAGCCCCAATTCTTTTTGTTTAAAATAGGAGATACAGCTGCCTTTTGAGTTCTGCTGGAAGGTTAAAGGGAATGGAGAAAAGGCATTAAAAAAAGGAGCGAGGAAACAGCACTGCCTTCCTCCAGTAATTCTGCAAACTTAATACAACCCATGAGCATGATAACTTAGCCATAGTTAGATGGTTAAGATATTCCTTCCCATAGAAGGGAAATTTTGAAGGGATTTTTTAACTTTCAAGAGCTCTTGATGAATTTCTTGATTTGAAGCAACCTCCCAGCAAAGGTGCCAACCAGCTGGCCAGATTGCTTTCTGGACCACGTCTGCTAATTATGTCCCACTTGGGGACATCGCCGAGGTAAAAGGCTCTCAGCAGTTTCCCATGTTCGAATAATTGTTACTTTCCTCAACCTGAGAGAGAGAATTGGTTTTTTCCTGCTTTTTTTAGTCTCAAGAAATGTTGACGTGTGCGATGTGACAAATACCTGAGCCCACTAAATGTAAAATCTTCATATCAAGCCCTTTTTGTAGGTGTTTTACAACAGATCTCACCTTCTCATGATGGCCAGGTGACTTAAGGAGCATTCCAGGAGCCCAATCCTTATTCCAATTCTTATTCCAATCTCTCTTCCCTTTGCAAATCATGCACATAGGCATACAAGTGATTTGGCTTCGTCAGGTTAAATAGGAAATGTTTGATGGAGTGTCAAGCTTATTGCATTATAGATCTGACATAAATTCCACCCATGGACAGCAAAGGTTTTTCTTTTTTTTGCCCCCGCGCAAATGGAAATTCCTCTTAGATCTTGATGATCAGCTGCACTTTAAATGAACCTGAATTAGGAGGTCGTTTTTCTTCTGGAGAAGCAAGTGCAAGGGGATAGAAAATGCAGCCTTTGAGGTAGTAGTTTTTATATTGTGCTGCAGTTGTAAAACTTGAGCTTTTCGAGGCTCCAGCATCTTTTGCCAGAATGTCAAAATGCTGGGGTTTTATTTCCTTTTTTATTTTCTGTTTTCCCTTTTTTTTTCCCTCTTGCTGCTTCATGAAGGGGTAGTTGGAAGGTCAAATTCTTGCCTTCCTCTCTGTCATTGGATACCCCAGAGCTAAAAATCACACAGTGAGACATGTCCAAGCTCATGGCAAGGGTTACATTGTAGATCAACTGGGTAAGTCTGGGGATTTTGGACCTCAAACAACATTGAAATTGCTCTCATCATTGCAAAAATGAATGTAGAAATGATGCTATTGCAATCTATGCACTATGTTTTTTAGAGTATTTAATTCCCTGGGAGTTAATCCTGAGTGATGCAAGCGCATTTATTTTGAACAGTCAATTATCTCTAATTAGTTAACTACATAACCAAATTCTGGGCCCATTTTGGGTCCATTTTATCAGCAAGGAAAAATTTCCCTTTGTCAAAACAAAACGCAGTGAAAACCTGTTGTTTCTAACTTGATTTCAGTCATTACATTCACAGACAGTCCTGAAATCTTTTGGCAATAGGGTCTGAAATTCGTTTTAGCTCTTCTTTTTACTTCGTTTATTAATAGGTAGAGATGACTGTGATTTAGGGACTTCTCTTTATTATCACTTTCAACTTGCAAATGTTTTGGCTTCCTTGTTTCTTTCTGTAATTCCGCTGGGATACCCGGATAAAGAAGGGGCACAAATGGGTCAGCTTGGAATATCAGAGGAATCTGCCTCCAGTCCATCCCATACGTGGCCAAGCAGATAACCCTGGACACCTGGGTTGTCTCATTAAAATCAAAGGGACTGCTGGAAGGCACAGAGTGTGGACAGAGGTGTTTTTCAGGATAAATGAAGCAATTCCGCTTTGATATAAATGAGCTCGTTCCATCCGCGGCAGCAGTTCCAATGATTTAATTTCTTTTTTTATTTCTGGATAATTATACTGTAAACGCATGAAAAGATTTAATGATGGGCAATGTCGCTGACCCTGTATTTCTGCAGCTTGGCCAAGCAAAGGAGTAAAACTTCTTTCCACAACCATCATATTTAGTTGGGATTGGGGATTTTGACACCCAAGAGTTGCAGCCAACGGTGGTGACTTGTGTCGTGGCGCTTATCCTTGTAGTATTCTCAGCAGAGATGGAAAAACATCCTGTCCTTTGGGGTTCAGGAGGCATCAAGGCCATAAAGTGGGGAAATTTCACTAAAAAAAAAGGTCTGGGGGAAGTTTTTTGGTAGCTACAAGTTTTTCAAGTTGATAAGATGTCCGTGTTGATGAAGAACAGTGAGAAGACAGAGAAAAGATCTAGCAAATCGCTGCCGTATTTCAGTGGATTTATCCATCCTGTGCTGGTGGTTTTGCCTTGATGTGTCCTTTACAAACTCACAGTTTCTGCACCTATTTTGAAGCCTAAAAAATGTATGAGACTCATCAGACCTGCTTCAAAAGCCTCACGAATACACAGTCCTGTTGCTTGTTCAGTATTTTTAAGTGACTAGGTGACCTCTTTCTCTGCTCTGTTTCTCTTTTTACTTTTTCTCTCCCAATATCAAAGCTTCCTAAATTAAACTTTATCTCTTTGTAGAAGTATCTCCCATGTGGAACGAGCCAAGCCTCCATGGATTATCACCTCGCGAGTCATTTAAAACTCTGTTTTATGATGAAAAAATAATTTTTTTTTTCTTTTTCCCCACCTGCAATGTAAAGCTGAGTCACCAAATAATGTTTTCATATGCCTGCATATTCTGTATCCCCAAGGGGCTATATCTTATATTGGAACACTCGGTCATGGAGATACAAGCAGGCTCATTTCTAGATGTATTCTCATCTTTATGTTTGATCTTTTAAGATCTACTTTTTCATGAGAAGAACCTAGATTTGCAACGGTGTCTTGCACTCCTTCTCCACCCTCTGAAATAGAGTCTTCCAGTTACAAGTCTGACACCACCCTCTGACTTCCGTAGCTTGTCTTGGCTTTTATGGATACCTCTTGGCTCTATTCAAGGAATGCTTCTCTTCCAAAAGCAAAAAAAGCTTCTTTGTACCCCGCTATATAGTTCACAAGTCAAAATAGTCTTGTGGTGGACATGAGCTAATTCATGGGGAAGAGGAGGAGAGGCCCTTTGGGAAGACACTTCGTCCTGCATCTCCAAAGACGTGAATCACACCGGAATTAACGGCGTCTTCGCGTCATGTGGACGTCCAATCCGTTGGGGTGAACGCAGCCGCCGTTGATGTTTCCTGCATTCCCAGCTGCTCTCCCACTGCTCCTGAACTCTGGGAACACCAGGAGAATCCCGGAACTCATTGAAACAAGTTGATATCTGGTAGCTGGATACGCATCTCCCGTCCAACCCAACACAACGCCAAACAAAATAATGGGAAGTCTCTCACCCCATGCGTTGCCATCAGGAGGCCGAGCTCGTGTTTTTCCTCACGGTAACATCCCATCCGATATGCACAAACGGATGCCAAATCCATGTAGAAAATTGCTTCGCCTTGGCGTGACGACAGGCTCGTGCTGGCGCGCGACGCTCCCGAAACACGAAGACCGTAACGCAGTACATTCAGCGTGGGCCTCTGAAAAGCAGTTTGCACCTGGTATCATATATTATATAACTAATGAGCCAACGAAGTGTTGAATAACCCAACGGAGGGCAGGAAACTTCGCAGCGGCGCGTTCGTGCCGTGGCCGCACCGGATCGGCGCGGCCTTCCAGCGCCGCCTTTTTTATGTATCATTTTCGAGGCTCCCGCTGAATCGGGACACATTAGAAACCAAAGCGATTTAATTTAATTAGCTCCTCATTTGCATAAATTAGTTTACTCAGCATGTCAGCCTTCTGTGTCCGGAATCCTCGTTGAGAGGCCTTCTTGATGTCCTTTGGGGAAGGGGCTTCGACTCTTGTGCTAATTATGGATTGCAAGTGCTGTCTCTGATAGCGCTGTAGGACATTTACCAAAAAGCTGGAAATATGCAGCAAAGCAGAGCAACATTTTCTTCGTTTCCAGCTTTATGGTTTGCCTGTTGCTTTTGCGGGCAAAAGCTGCACAAACTGAACTTTCTAATCATCGCTGTGGCTTCTCGTTAACAATATCCAGGAGGGAACATCTGTCTTGGTGCCAAAAATCAAGTCTTTAAGGCCAATTGCTGCAATTAATGAGTTACATACGAGAAACGTGATTTTTACCGCGGGATTTGCAGGTTTGCGGCGACACATTCTGCATTTTACATGAGCTCCTCACCATTACATCAAATATTTACTTCTGCACAAGCCCATGAGGAGCAAACAAGTCACAGTGTGAAGCCACTTGTATATGTATAAAAAATGCTTATCTATCCGGTGCATTATCTAACCCATAAACAACTCGGATGCGGCGCCTCTGCGATTTTATTCCGTATTCCTCGTGTACTGCTGCCTGCAAGGAACTCGGCGTTGGGTTGGAGATAGGAGGAAACACATCAGAAGACTGAAAAGGAAGGGAGGGGATGGAATTTTTCTTGGAAAATAATCTTTTGATTAAGAACTGGAAGTTAAAAGCCTTGTGAGGCTCTTCCATTTTGCCTTGTCTTGGATCTTGCTTCCACCAACCGTTCTGTTGGCAGCTCCATGTAGGGAGGGATTTTGTTCTCTCTTTGGCTCCATTGTGTTTTCGCTGACTTTAATTAAAAATGTAAACATGGTTCTTTGAAATACCCCAAAATTCACTTGCAGCTGTTGTCATTATCATCTGTATAGGGCACAATTCAAAAAGGAAAAAAAAAAAGGGATCTTGCTGAAGATGATTGTGGAGAGAATATGAAGAAAAGAAGCTATTGGGCCAGTGTTTTTTTCCTTTATGATTTGTGTGGTGCAGAATTATCAGTTCAGGTGCAGAATTATCAGTAGGAACATCCAACTGGCCTTAGGTTCATGGAGGAACCTTGAGGAACGTAGAGGAACCCTCCGTTGGCAGCTCTTGTGTCTCCAGCCGTGTCCTGCGCAGTCGGACCTGTTGTACAGACCCTGCTTTTCCTCACTGATGTTTTAAATCATTAAGAGAGGCCAATTCTAATTTCCATGGGAAGAAAGCTGGGGCATTTTGGTTAATGTGTCCTTAATTAATGTGTAATGAGTCACGGGCAGTGCTAGAGCTGGTGTCTCTTTGGCCAAGTGCTCTTGCTCGGGGTGAGGTGCAGGAAAAACTCCAAGAGGTTGGTAAAAAATGGAACCCCCTTTTCTGCAAAAGGGGGTCAGATTTTAATACTCCTTCTGTATTTCGGAATGTTTCCATGGGATTTCCATCCAATTGGGATGGAAAGTCAGAGGCAACGCGCAATTTTGTGACCCGCCCTGGGGACTTCTGTCAGTTTGAGGAAATTTGGGAAAATAGTTGACAAGAAGCATGGGAATGAACAGCGGGAGAGGAAAAGGGACGTCCTCGGATGGTCCTGGTGGCATCTCCATCACGTCCCGCCGGTCTCGCCATGACTTTGGATTCTTCTTCTTGCAGGGCCCAACCTGCCCAAGGCCCCGGTGAAGACGGCGTCGCTGGGCTTGGCCGGCAAGGCCCGGTCGCCGCTGCTGCCCGTGTCGGTGCCCACGGCCCCGGAGGTCTCCGAGGAGGGACACAAGGCCACGGAGGACCCCGCTAACGTAAGAGCCACCTCCAAGCAGCCTCCTTGCCACGGAGACGCGGTACATCCATCCCCAAAGCAATTTTTAGATGATTTTTGCTCCCTCCTAAGTTATTGCACCTAAACTTTTGGCAGTCTATAAATCTTCAAATTTATTGGGCTTAGGCATGGGTGATTGATACACAGAAGAAGAAACTCCTTAAATTCCCTCTTAATGCCATCCACGGGACAGCTCACACATCCCTCGAGCTCCAGGAGATAACGGGAGGAGAGAAAAAGGGGAGCGGGAAACGCGATAAAGGGACAGAATAATTTGGGCAGGAAGAATGAATATAAAATAACATCCAATAGCGGAAGGAAAAATAATATTGAAGGAGCAGATAAAGGAAAGCGAAAAGATGATGACATTAGAATAATCTTTTCACTCCTGTTAAGACTCTCTTAAAGTGTCGCGTCCGGGAAATGAAACAGTACAAATGAGAATGAATAAAAAAACATATATTAAATGCATGTTGCATATCACCTCTTCATCGACTTGCACAGGACAATTTTTTGCTGGGTGTGATAGCAGTGATTTGTCCAGCACCTTTTTAATGAATCCTTTTGCATTTGCTGAAGGGAAAACCCAAAGTTTCGCTTCACACTATGGGAATTTGGGGTCTGCTGGCTTATAAATGTAGGATAATAGCATTTTATTCCTGTTTGTCATCATCAATAGCATAAAAATATGTTTCTGCTTGTAGTTACAGAAGGATTCTCACATTTTGCTGGCGGAAAGGGAGTCGTATATTAGAAATATAATTATGCACCTTGCTGCAACCCAGCTGTGGTCCTGAGCTTTTTTCCAGATCCTGCTGCCTCTCCTGCATGGAGCAAGCAGGAGACAAGGAGTCTTCTGCTGGAGGGGGAAAAAAATCTAAATAAAGACTCTGTTTGGTAAAATCAGTGGTATAAGGAGCGGGGAAAAAAATCTAAATAAAGACTCTGGTAAAATCAGTGGTATAAGGAGTAATTCACCACGGAACATTTGATAACGCAAAATGCAATTTCAACTCTCAATACCTTATTTTATAGCAGCAGCACAATTCATTTCTCAGGAACGATGATGCTCAAGCTCCACAAGTCATTGCAGGAAGTAATGGTGCAGGCAACAAGTTCGTCGGGGAACCAAAATTTGGGGATGAAGGCTAAAATTTGGGGAGCTTCTTTTAAGCTTAGGTGGTTCCCAGCAATAGGTGCTCAACATTTTAGGGCTTGCTGCAAGTTCAGAGCGTTATTTTTAATCCAGGTCCTGAGCATTCCCATCCTCTTACCCCACTGAAAGCCATGATAGGAATTGGGAATCATTGCCAACGTCAGCTTGGAATTAGCAATCTTTGCAATGAACAGCTGCAGCCTGCCCCAAAGAAGGCATTTTTTGATGAGTATTGGAGAATATGTATGGATTTTGAGTGCTGACTGCTGGTTTGTGTGTGTTTTTTCGCTTGCAGGTTTATGAACAGGATGATCTGAGCGAACAGATGGCCAGTTTGGAGGGGCTAATGAAGCAACTTAATGCTATCACAGGCTCAGCCTTCTAACAGCTAGTGAGGAACAGCTGATTATCCAGGAGCATTGCAGCATCCCAGTATTTCATGCATACCCCACCTGTCCTCGACCCCATGAAATCATCCTTCAGCACCATTCCTTCAATGCAAGGAAAATCCCCGAAAGTCGTGAGAAGAATAATAAAAAGCAAGCAAAATACAAGAAGAATGTTACGTGACTGTAGCTCTGGCATCTGAAGTGATGGAAACGTGGCCTTTGCCAGTGCTACTGACATCCTCATGGCAGAGTTGGAGCTGGGTTGCTCGTGTGGATCTCCTGGTCTTCCTGGAGCTCCAGTCGTCATGACTAAAACTCCCTTGTTTTCCGTAGTAGAGGTTTGTAGCTCTTTGTGTAGGTCTAGTCTTACCTCATGCGAGTGCATTTCGAAGCATAGACCATCAGGAGACGGCGTCGTAGGTCACTCTTTTGGTTTCTCTGTGGATCGTTGCTGAATGCAAAAAGCTCCTGTAGCAAAGAGCCATAGCACCACACGAAAATCCCGGAATTTTCCCAACAGCACAAAGCAAAAAGGCCAATTACTCGTTTCTCTCCTCGTTTGAGCCACTTGTCTTGCCCGAGTGGTGGCCACGAGCGAGTTGGTGTGAAAATCAGCCATTTCAGCAAGCGTTTGGAAATCCTCCCTTAGTTAGTGGCTTATGTATGGCAAAAAGAACCGGGAACGTGACAAAAATCTGCAGCGGTGACAAGCCGGCCTCCGTATGCTCCCAAAAAACAGGCAGAATATGCAGTTTTCTCTGACACCTGGTAATTACATGCTTAAACCTGTGATAAAACACGTGTCTTTGGGCCATCCCTCCACGCGATGGCTCTGCCAGGGCCACCTTGACTCGGCCACCGCTTGTCCCTTCTCTTGGTGGCACCCGCTGAACGAGGAGATGACCCAAATCCACGTGAAGAGGGTCATGGTGCTAAATGCAGAGCACTTCCCTTGGGTGGAAAAGGGCCAAAAAGATGAACCGTAGAGGCCTGGTAAAAAAAAATCATGGAATTCGAGGAATTTTTTGCCCAGATGATATTTCTGGTGGCTCTCAAAGTAACCAAGGAGGAGAAGCAAGTGAGCAACAGCTTCCTCAGTGCTTCCCTGTCATCCCAGTCCTTTAGCTGCATATCGCAGTGTTTAGTGACAACTCTAACGGGTTGAATTGACTAAATTTTGTGTGCACACATTTTATTGCTAAATTTGCGGCTGCATTCAGCGTTAATCCCTGTTTATGCAGCTGAATCACCAAAACGCAGCTAATCTGCATATTTATCTGTTAGGAGGCTGCAAAACCCAATAAGAGAGTTTCAGATGAATTATTCCATTCAGCTCTGCCTTTGATTTCAAGCTTGAGTGGGTCATAATTTTAAAAGAGCATGGAAAGGATAGGATCTTTACAACCTAATAGCTCCTTTTATTAGGTGGGTAATTATATGTGAATCTCCGAATAAAATATTTTGAGTAAAATGGCACGGCAACAGAAGTAATAATTCAGATTATTTTCTGCGGCCCCGTGCTGGAAAGGAAATCGGGTGGCAAGGAGGAATTCCAATGCTTCATTAGGAACCCCAGTGCGTTTGCGAAAACGCTCCTTAAAAAACGCCTTGTTATTCAATTTCCTAAGGTTTTAATGGAATATTTCTTGAGAGGGAGGAAACTTGGTTTGAATTAGAGGCTGAGCTTTGTAGCTCTGAGAGATTCCTAGCTAAAACCCAGCACTGTAAATAGCATCAATGCATCTTTCAAGCCCAATTCAGAACTTAAAAAAATCACTACCTATATTTTTATTGGGCCAAAGGCAGCTTAATGCAGCTTCTGGGTAGCTCCTCTTCCGTATTTGCAGGGATTGACGTTGTTGGGAATAGGGACATAAGGTCAAAGCAGAGTCTTGCCTGTCCTTTGGAGAAATAACCGGTTATTTGGAGTTCCAGAGGGAAATCCAGGAGGAGAAACTGCCTGGAAAATCCTCCGGAGCGAAGTGTTAAACAGCACAAAGTCACCTGGAATAAGAGGGGGGTGACCCTCGGGGCTCGGGAAAGGAGGATTTGCTCCTTATGGATGTGCCCCGGAGCGCTCGGATGCTTCTTTTCCGAGTGCTTTGGGATCCATCCGCCTCTTCTTCCCGGAGCGCCGGAATATCAGCCCTTGGAGCTGGAGCTTTCTTCATTTAATTCCTTCATTTTGCAATTTCTTCCTTGAGTTAGCTTTAATCTAAGTCAGGAAAAGTTAATTCCTGTGTATTCCGCATTTAATGCTCTGAATTTTGCAGCTCTTTTGCAGTTTTCCCAAACTCTAAGAGGCCTAAGTTGGACGTTTCCAATTTTTATTCAGGCTGATTTTTAGTAACAACTGAAAAACTAATTAGTAAGCAGGTATTTCTTGTAAAAGCAAGACATTTTACTTGCAAAGCTCCACTGACTGCTGTAGCACAAAGCCTCCAAATTCTATTTTGCTGATGCTCTGTTTATTTGCAAGGATTTTGGCTGATTCTGATGAATTCCTAAACTGTGGGAGTATTTATAGCCCACGACCATCTCCACCATAGACTCTCCCAGGAAACTGTAACGAGGAATTCATCAGGACACGACAGGTTTGCAAAGCTGGATGTTACCAGGGGAGATCATTAGCTAATCAATGCAATGGGGCTACCACAAATAGGTAAAAGATAATGAGTTAGTCAAAAAAGACCTGCTCTTTCATTTTTCTTTTTCTTTCTTTCTTTCTTTCTTTCTTTCTTTCTTTCTTTCTTTCTTTCTTTCTTTCTTTCTTTCTTTCTTTCTTTCTTTCTTTCTTTCTT